ATCATTTAATTAGAATAAAAAGTAATGGACATAATAAAAGATCTTTTATTTTCTTTGCCATTCATACAAAGAGTTTATGATTATGGTGCTAGTTTTGAAACACATATGGTAAGCTATTATTATTAGATTTTTAAATATTTGTCTGTTGCTTTTTTTAAAAAATAAAAAAATGACTTTATCTTTTTTGCATTTTAATAAATTTTTAATGTTTTAAAGTAGTTTTTAATTTGAACTGTAATTATTTGTTTTTATAACAAATTACTTCTTTTATCATAATTAGAAAAATGTAAAATACTTAATATCACACCACAAAAATAAATTTAATATGGCAATTTGATGGAGCAACTTAAAAAATAAGTATTATAATTGGTCAATTTTTTACTCAAGTTATTACTTATACAAAGTCATACACCTTTTAATTTTTTGTTAAAAGCATTTATATTTTAAAAAACTAATTAAATTTTTGATTGATTGTTATACATATCCTTAGTTTTTAGTTGCATTTTTATATATTTTTTCTATTTCAAATAAATTTGAACATTAATCTTCCTAGTAGTATTATCACAGTAAAAATACTTCGTCTTGATTGGAAAACAAGTTAATGCTTCCCTATGGGCACTAGAATCTATCTTGTGCCCACAGGTGTTTATAATATGTATTATACACTTTATTACATGTTTTAGACATCATAAACATACATGTCTTATCCCGATTAGGCAGGAAGAGCATCTTGTTATAAAAAATTTTTAAAAACCTTAACTTTTTCTTAATGCCATATTTAAATAAAAAAATATAATGTTATGAAAACTCATTTTGACCACACAAACTCGAAATCAATGACAACTAAGTTATATAAAGTGCCCCCCCTCCATTTACTAATGGCCAAAAAAGACTACTTTAGAACTTTAAAACTTTTTTCTCATTTTTTAGAACTTTTTTCTGGATAGTTTGTCTCAAAAATAGTAGTTTTTATTAAATTGTATTATATTAGAAAAAAAAGTTTAACCTCCTCAACTTTAGAAAAAATCTAAAAGTTGCTAAAAAACACCAAAATGAAGTTAACCATAGCATTTTTTTATTCATCAACAAGTCTTTACAGATTAGTTTTTTTCAAGTCCTTAGAACTCAAATGTTATATTTGAGTTCTTAGGCCAAATTTGACTTTTTAGGCAAAGGGTCAATATATTAAAAATATATTGACCCCTCCTTGATCTGGCCTTTATAGTAGATAGCAGCACAAATGAAGCGACAGTAACTATTTTGAGACCTTCATTTTGTTTAAATCTGATACTTTAATTATAATTTACACAATTAAGGAGTACTATATCTCAAAATCAAAAATAGTTTATATTTTCTAAAACAGTTTTTTAAAAGACATAATATTATAAGGGGTCTTCCATAAATTATATCATGCAATTTTTGACATTTTTTGACCCCCCCCCCCCCTTGTAACGCAATGTAACATTTTATTGACTAATATTATACAACAATTTTGTAATAAGAATGATTTTTTTAAACAATTTTAAATATGATGTCTATAAATTTCTTATCTTTCTGACTTGAGTTTTAGTACTTTTCAGTCTGTTTAATGTTTTTTTTATAAAATTATAATTTTATAAATATAATTTTCTCTCTAACAGTGTTGTTACAGTCTTCTCTGTTTGACAAGTGCTTTTGCACTCTTGCAGTTTTGCGCTTGCCCACACGCCCACCAATACTATGTCTGGCACTTATTTAAGTGCTCACCAAAAAATTTCAAGCGTGTTTTCAAATTGTAACAAATCTTTTTTCTTAATCTAATTTTAATTAAAAAGGTACAAAAAACAAATATTTAAAAAAATCATGCACGACCAAATAATAACTGTCCGGCCAGCACTTTTTTATGCGCTGGCGGTAAATTTCAAACAGAGAAGACTGATGTTAGCGTGGCCGAGTGGATTATGCTTCCGCCAAGTAAACTGAGGGTTCGAGGTTTATCTCTCGGTGGAGAGATTTTTTTGATTTTTTTAAATTAGTTTTATTTTTTTTAAATTGTTTTCTTTGTTGCTGCACACTTTTGTGCACCAACTAATTGAGGTGCTGTACTTGGACCATATAAAGTCAAAGCACAGAACATGCATTGTACTCAGACTGTTACAACTGTAACAGTTCGTTGACAGGCTATAGCTACTCTGTTAATGGAGTCTACACATCGACTAAGTAAGATTTAGGTTCTTTTAATTATAAGGAAGTCTTCTCTAGATTTAAACTTTAAAATAAAAAATGCATTGCAAAATTGGTGACCCCCTCCCCTTTATAACAAATTGTTACAAAATCACCTCCCCCTCCCCCTAAAGCATGATGAATTTATGAATGATCGCTAAAGGGTATTAAAGAATTCTATTGTTAAAAAAAAAAAAAATTAAAATTAATAAAGAAAAAAGTCAAAACTTGTTAAAAAAAAACTTTTATTATTAGGTTTGGTTTTTACTTTATAATTACAGGCCTTGTTTTTAATAAAAAATGCTTAACACAATAGCCTTATGCAAATTTGATGTCATAAAATTCTCTTTAATTTTTTACTTTTTAAAGACATTAATTTTTTTAAATCATTACAATAATATTAATTACTGCAAAACAAGTTTTTTACTAAAAGGGTTTATTTTCTTATATTTTTATTATACTAAAATTTTATTTTAGATTTGATATATTTTAGTATATTCAGGTAATTTTCTTATATTTTTTGTTAATATTAAATAATTAAATTTAATATTACATTTTTAAAAATGTTTGATATTAACAAATTTCTTTCTTTTCTTGACATTTGCATAAATGAATTAAAATATGTTGAATTTTTGAATTTTTAAATGATTGTTTCTTAAATTTCTAATTGCATCTTTGAAACTAGATATGATTTTTTACTTTAAAAAAATTAGCCAGTAACAAATAAAAAAAAACTTTAATTTATATACTTTATTTATTAAAAGTTAATAATTTTATTGACGATTTTGTTGTGAAATCAAACATTATTTTTCCAAACATCATTTATTAAAATTATATCACTGTATATATAGTTTGTTATAAAATAATCACTGGGATTTAACTTTTGTTATAAAAAAAAAAGTTTTGTGCAAATTTTTGATGCAGGTGTTTATTTAAAATTTATTTTCAAGTAAAAAAAAAAAAAAAAAGTTTAGGAAGGAAAACTGAAAAAACAATTACGATAAAATTGAACTAATTTTTAAGAACAAATAAAATTTAAATATTGAACATACAGTGCAGAAAGTAGAATTAGCCTTACCATGTACTGATTCAATATTTTGTAAATCTGTAAGCAAATTTGTGTGGTGCATTTTTTGTATCCACACACATATAATTATTGTTACAAACAATAACTTTTTTGATTATAATATAACATAATTAAGTTGCGGTACGCATGAAAAAAACATAAAAAGTATAATACTTGATATTTGCGGTAACAAATGGAATTAGCCTCATCAATAATTATTTTCAGTTTACTTTTGATTTGGTGATACGCATTTGCAACATTTTTTATTATTAAAAAAGCAAAGACTGTGAAATCAGTGCTCATAAAGTTTTTAACATTTGGTTTTTGATACCTTAATTTGAAATGGGACGTGGTAAGCGTTTAGCGAATGAAGAATTAACAGTAATCAAGGCATACAAGCATACAGGCTTATCTAATCGGGAAACTGCAAAGAAAATTAAAATATCTCCAAAAGTGGTTAATAATTACATCAAGATTGGCGTTAATTATGGAGCTTATAAGGGAAGTGGTAGCAAATGTAAAATTGATAATCGTACTAAACAAGTTATTGTATGTTGTGCTGCTGCTCAGCACATGACTGCATCTCAAATTTGTGCTGATTTTCAATTACCTATATCTGTTCAACATGTTAGACAAATCTTACATGAAGATCCAAACACAGCTTGGAAAAAGCGTAAACCAAAACCAAAACTTACTGCTTGTCATAAAGAAGTTAAATTACAATTTGAAAAAGAACACATGTCTTGGCGGGAAGAGTGGCATCAAGTTTATTTATGAAAAAAAGTTCAATGGTCCTGATGGCTATTAATATTACTGGCACGATCTTCGAAAAGAGAAAAAAACTCTGACAAGTCGTAACTTTGGTGGTGGAACTGTTATGGTTTGATGGACTTTTTTCTTTGCTTGAAAACTTCCACTGGCACGGATTTCAACAAAAATAAATTCACAGGACTACATTGACTTATTAGAAATAAGTTTGCATGAACATGGTGAGAAATGTAGGTGATAATATAGGTGATAGGTGAAAAATATAGGTGATAGGTGAAAATTTCACTTTTCAACAAGATAATGCTGCTATCCATAATTCAAAGCTTACAAAAGCTTGGTTTAGAGAAAAGAATATTCACATAATGGAATGGCCCATATGTAGTCCAGATCTTAACCCAATTGAAAATCTATGGGAAATACTTTCTAGAAAGTTTTATAAAAATGGTAAACAATTTGAATCTACCTTGGAACTGAAAACTCGTATCAGAGAAGCTTGGAATGAAATATCTATAAACTATCCAAAATCTTGTGACTAGTATGTGAAGTCGCATATAATTTCTCTATTTTCTTGTATAATTAAAAATAACGTAAATAAGGCTAATTCTATTTTCAAATTGAGTACTTTTAGTTTTTTTTCCATTTGTAATTAATTAAACTTTAGTAAAAGTTAAATGAACAGATTTGATAATATTTAAGTCAAAATTTTAAAATTAAAATAATAAATACGTTTAATAAATGCTTATGTTTTTTATTTGAATAGTTATTCAAATACAAGACATAAAACTATTTTGTTAATTTTACAAATATTGCGCGATTCAATATATGTAAATATATTATGTAATGTAAATATTGATTAAAAATGGTTTAAAGTATTTAAACATTTAATTACTATTTATTTAAAACATTAATAATTACTAAAATTGAATTTACTAAAATATAGTTTGTAAATATTTAAAATACTTTGAACAATTTTCAAGAATTATTTACTAATAGCGTGGTATTTGCAACAAAAGCATTTATTAAAGTCTTAAGTAAAATATTTTTCTTATCGTAACTTAAGTAACACCATCCACTGGTAAATTCATAAATTCAATAATTAAACTTTAATTCAATCCTTTATCTTAGAATAAAAAAAGATAAACAAATAGTTAGAATGATGATTGAAAAAATGATGATTGTAAAAATGATGATTAAAAAACAATAAAATTATAATAATAATAAAAAAGTTGTATTGTATGCAGCTTATTATTTGCTATTCCAGTTCCTAAGGTTAGCAGGTATTTGTCTTAATTTAATAATTCTGAAATTTTAGAATGACTGCAGAATGTGTATTTTTATGACAATATAACTTTAGTTCAATGCCGATAGAACAGAAGTTCATGAATTCCTTTAATTTAAAAAATTTAATTGAATTAAATTATTATTGAGCCTACTCCTCCTATATAGCTTTATAAATAAAATAGATTCAACAAATAATAAGAAATAAACAAATAATATGATGAAAAAAACTGCAACAACAAAGTTTAAAATATCAAACAATTTTTTTTTTTGAGTTTAAAACACTTATATATACACATTTGCAAAAAAAGTACATTTTCTAAAATCATTGTTAAATAAAACTATAAGCCCATTTACATTTACTAAAAAATAATTATTCAAGCAAAATAAGAAATCTTTATTTTAATGGTTTATATGTTATTCTGTTGCCGTTTATGCCTGAATCCGCTGCTCTAATTGTGTACTTAATTATTAGTAATTTAATCATCTATAATAAAGGAGAATTAAGATGAATAATCAATTTTAGACTAAACTAAAATATGTTTAAAGTATCACATTTGAGCAATAAAGCAGGGCACTAAATAGTTACTGCTCTTTTATTTGTGTCTTTATACATTTTAAAGACCAAATCAAGGAGGGATCAACTAACCATATCTTTCTTTGTAAATAACTTATAATTAGTTATACTTTTCACATAGGCCCAGTAGGCGGGTTGGAGGGCGGTTGATTTCCAATAATGCGTTCCAAAGTGGAGGAGGTTAATTTTTTTTTTCTAATATAAAATTAATAAAAACCACTATTTTTAAGACAAAACTATCCAGAAAACAGTTGTAGAAAAATCAAACATTTGTTGAAAAATAGAAAAAAGTTGTAAGGCTTTAAAAGTAGTCTATTTTTGAAATTCTTAAATTGAGGGAGAGGGGCCACTCTGTTGTGTTTATAAGGCTATAATTTCTAAACCATTGCATTAGAAGTCTGAAATTTCAAATTTAATTTATCTACATAATGCAGATAATGATAAGTAAAATCAGGGAAATCAGGGATGGTGCCCCACAATGTTATTTTTAAATTAGTTGAAATATAATGATTGGACCCATATTATTTTAACCATATTATTGGCAGTATGGCAGTATGATTAACCATAACCATAACTAAAGGCAGTATGATTAACCATAACCATATTATTTACTTTTTTCTCCTAGGATTACGAGGGACAAAAGAAGGCAGAACGAGTTTATCAAGTTATTCTTACAATTTTTGGCGTATGTACCATCTATTTTTTATTTTGGTTTAATTAGTTTTTAATATTTTATAATATTTGTTTTAGAATGTAAATACAAATATATAAATACAATTTTCAGTTTCAAATAAATATTGCCATGAAAATTTAATTATTGTTTTCTTTATTTTATTGTATATTAATATATTTTATTGTTATTTATGTGGCTTTTATACTTTTATGTCAAATTACAATTTAAACATTTTTTCCCCCTATTTTTATTTCATTAATTGTTTCATTAATGATTTGATAAAAACATTAGTTTTTTGTTTGTTTGTTTTTTAATTGTATTGTTTTATTTAGAATTTAATATAAACATTCTTTTTATCATTTTTATCTGTTTACTATTTATAACTATTTAATTTAAAATTTAATTAAATTTTGTTTTAATTTTTTAATCAGCAATAAATTAAATTCTAAATAAAGTCATTAAAATAAAAACAAATTCATTTAAAAACACAACATTAAAACAAACAATTTAATTAAACAAAGTTTTTTCTTTTTAATTTTGTGTTAACAGAAAATAAAATGATTTATTTTGATTATTATTTAGAATATAAAGAAAGCGTTTGTTTTGTCATTTTTATTTTTTCTAAAATTTTATTAAAATGTTCATTTTTTAAAATTTAATTCAACTTTTTATTTTAATTGTTTTGTTTAAAATATTAATAAAGTGTTTGTTTTGCTGTTTTTAATTTATTTGAAACAGTAAATAAAATTAAGTTTTAAAGTTCTGAGATTAAAAAAAAATGGCAATCTCATTTGGGACTGCCGAATGCTGACCCTAGTTCTGAGGGCTGAGTATATTTGTTTAATTTAAATAATCAAATTTTTTGTTACTAGATTTTGCTGAAAAATTCAATTTTTGATACATAATTTAAGATACATAACAAAGTTTTTATTATAATAATTATCAAGCAATATTGCAAATTTTTGTTATTTACTTTATGAAGAAAATAAGATAAGATGTAAAAGTGTTTGAATAATATCAGATCATTTGCAACACAATAAACTCAGTTCATTGTTTCATTCAAGTAATAAAGCATTTTAAAGAAAGATAAAGATAATTATGATGGTTGAAAGATACCTTACTTCAAAAGTTATAAAACATTTTCAACTTATGTTACCATGAATAAATTATGAGATATCTAGAGAATGAAATTTTTAGCTACATCAAATGGGAAGAGTGCTTGGGATTTTGTTGTGGGCTCCGTTAAAAGTCTTACAGCAAGGGGAAGATTACAATCACTGAAAATTCCAATTAATCCACCTGAGAAATTGTATGATTACTATAGTCAAAATAATCATAAAAATTTCAATACATTTCAAATGATGCAATTATATTATATTGCATAAATTTAAAATTATAAGAAGGTTATGCTACTTGTCACACAAAGAAAATTTTTGCCACACAAAAAAGAAATATGCTAGGTTCAAAAAAAGCACATTTTATGCAAAATTTTATCTTTAAAAATAAAACAGTAACTGGTATATGCTATGAACTATCAGCTCAAGAAAAAATGAAAATTTTCATTTGTATAACAGCATATAAGACATAATTATATTACAACACAGCAAAATTTGATTTACTTGTTTTAAACTTTTATAGTTAGTTAACAAAAACTTAAAACATTTATTTGAGTAACAATATTTTTTGATTCAAATTTACATAAATACATAATCAACTTGTGATGACAAGTCAAATAACTTCACCTGGTGTAAGTTGTAAATTTAAACACAATGATAATCAAATAATAGTCAAATAATGTAATGAAAAAATGTTAAAAATTATTACAAAATTTATAGTTAAGATAAAAAATAGTAAAAAAATGAGTGAAATCAAATAAAAAAGATGTTTATTGGAATAAAAGTCTTTCTTTTCATTTTTACCTTAAAAAAAAAAATAATTAAACATTTTATACCTAGTCTATTTACTATCTAACTTTGTTCTGACTTTAAAACTTTACCATAAGTAACCCCTATTTTTTTTCTGAAATCATTGTAATAAAGTCTATCAAATCAGATCCTAGGTTGACAGGTAGTTTGATCCTAGGTGACAGGTAGTAGAAGTGAAGGCATAAGTTTTTAAGTTTTAAATTATGAGTCATAATTTCTTACTGAAATTTCTAAAAATTAGAAAGCATATCTTTTATAGTAACTAAAAAAATGTCTTTTCACTTCTTAAATTGTCTTTAAATGTCTTACTTCTTATAATACTAATTTTGTATAACCCATCAAAAATCAAATTTTTATATGTGCGAATGGTCTTTTATGTAGCCATTATGGGTAAAGCATAATATTTAAAAATTCAATGTAAATGTACTAAAGTAAATCTAGAGTTATGCATAATGAAGAAGATTTTCTGAAATTTTGTTTTTAAATATAGAGCTTCAAAGAATAAAGCGTGTTTTTGTTACTTAAATTTTTATTTTAAATGACTATATCTCATGAACCATAAAATGCTAAAATATATATTACGTAAAATAATCCATGAATATCCAAAAATATATAAAATTTTCAGTAATTGATATACACCAAAATTTTGTTTTTAAAATATAGAACATAAAATACAAAAGGTTTTATGCTGAAATTTCAGAAATTTGTTTTTTCATTGAAATAAACCCAAGTTTCATTGGGATCTAGGGTGGTCCATGTTAGGCCTACGTCCGCTTGGCGTGGAATGACCCTATGTTTTAATTTATATATTTAGTGACTTTTTATTTAACTTGTAAAATATAATTATTTGGGCATTACTGATAAAACTAATGTAGATGTGTTTGAATGTACTTCAATGCATTATTGAAATTTAAGGTGTAGAACGCTGTTTACTACATGCAAGCTTTTAACTTTAGTACATGCAAGCTTAAATTTAAATGGTTCTTTTAATATACTAAAGTACATAATACTTTAAACTGTTAAATTTAAATTAAAAATATTTTTATTGGTAAATCAAACAAATTGGCTTTAACAAAAAATACAACACAGCAATTGTTAACTTTTGAGCTTGAAAATAGCCAAATAACTGCACATAACCACAAATTATAATAATTCACTCTTGTAGATAGATAGAAAAACATAAAAAAAAGATTTTAACTTTTTTATTTTTTTTGCAGGTGGTTGGATTCTTATGGGGTTTTTATATTCAACAGCTATCTGCCACTGTTTATATAGTTTTGACTGGCTTTGCTCTCTCCTGCTTGGTAAGTTGATATTTTTTTTTTTAAACATGACTATGTTTGTTTTTAATTTTTGTGTAAATGATATATTTTTTTTGTGCATGCAATTATGGCGCATGCACAAATTATTTATGCATGCACCATAATTGCATTGATAATAAAAATCATTATTTAAATAATAATGACTAACTATTATTTAAATCATGATTAAAATAATAATTTGACATGAATTATTATTTAAACCATGATTTAAAAAAGTTGTCCTTGATAGACAGCACTCTTCTTCTTATTCTTTATCCTCAGGGGTTCCTCAAGGTTCAATCCTTGGCCCTATACTCTTTTTAATTTACATTAACGATCTTTCAGATATTCTCACATCTATGGTGGCATTGTTTGCTAACGATACTACCATTTATTCTTGTCATGATAAGAAGCCAACTCTCTCTGATTGCTTGGAGGGGGCATTTAAGCTTGAAAAGGATCTCACTTCTGCTACAGCATGGGGCTCACAGTGCCTGGTGAACTTTAATTCAGATAAAACTCAATTGTTTTTCAGCCAATCGTTATTGTAATAATTTAGACCTTCCTATATTTATGAACGCTAATGTACTCCATGAGTCATCTACCCTTCATCTTCTAGGATAAACTCTTACTTCCGATCTTTTTTGAAAACCATATATCAAATCCGTTTTAAAATTAGCATCTGCTGAAGTTGCATCTCTTTATCGAGCTCGACACTTTCTTACTCCAGATTCTATCCTCTATCTCTATAAATCTCAAATCTGGCCTTTTATGGAATAATTTTGCCATATCTAGAGCGGATCTTCTAATGATGTCCTTTCCTTTTAGACAAGGTGCAAAAATGCATTGTAAACATAGTTTGATCATTCATCAAGCGAAGTTCTGCTCTTGCAACCAACCTTCAACCATTATTACATCGTCCTAATCTTGCTTCTCTTTCTCTTTTATACAAATACTGTAATGGGCACTGCTCTAAAGAGTTAGTGTCTCTTGTGCCATCTACTAAAATTCATTCTTGTGTTACTCATCATTCAATTAAGTCTCATCCTTTTTCTTTGACTGTTCCTAAGTGTTTGTCTCCAACATCAGTTCTTTGGAAATTGCTTCCTTCATCTTGCTTTCCTGATTCATATAATTTGCAATCTTTTAAGTTGCTGTCAATCGTTATCTTGTTTTACAATCTTCATCTTCCAGTAACTTCCAACTCTAGTTAGTGGTTGCTTGCAGCTTTGTTGAAAGCGAAGATGTTTGAAAAAAAAAAATATTAATAATTTATGCCAAATTTTCACGATTTAAGTAATAATTTTGGTCAAATTATTTGAATAAAATTTAAATATTCTTAGAATATTTTTATCAGAAATTAAAATGAATTTGTATGAGTCTTAAAGATCTATTTTTATCTACCTTGTAGTGATAACAATAAAACAATATAAAATTAATTAAAACAAATAATTTGATATAAAAGTAAAAAAAAAATAGTTTTGATATAAAGATGATAAAAAAAAAACAATTCATATCAACTTTTTATTTATGCAAACTTGTTCTTATATCATAGATATAGATATTAAATAATAAAAACAAATAAAAAAATTGTTTTTGTTCATAAAACATTTTCGTCATGTAAAAATTAAGGTTTGTTTTTAAATCAACTATAAAAGATTAAAACTAAATTTTCAAATTTAAAGTTGATTGATTTTAGTGTTTACATGTTTTAACTCTAAAGATCAACAATAGTTAATACAACTTTAAACTCAATTGACTTCAATGTTTCTCTGTTAACTTCATGTTATTATTATTAAGTATTTCACCATAAAGAAAAATTTACAAAGGTATTAATTGTAAAATGTAAATATACAGCTATATATGTTGCATTTAATAAAATTTACACAAAATCTTTCTACTATTTACCATTTAAGCAATAGTTTGTTTAAAAAAGACTATTTATAAGTATTTATATTTTTTATAAATTAAAACATAATTTTATAAATATATGTTTATTATTATATAAATTTTTTAATGTAATTTTATAATTTATATATTTATGAATAATATTTAAATGTTTTTTAGTTTAAAAACTTGATGTTTCTTAAATTTAGATTGTTTTACCACCATGGCCATTTTTTCGAAAAAATCCTTTGCAATGGCAACCTGTAGTTAATGGTTCAAAACAAACAAAGACTCAAAAGAAAAATGACAGCAAGAAAGTGAAAAAATAATATTTTTTATATTTATTATTTATGTCATTATTTTATGAAATACATTTAAAAAATTCAAATAAATTATTTTTATTTTTTTAAACTCCAAACAGCTTTAAAGCATGATTGTAATGGGTTGCCCTAAATTTAAATGATTTTAAAGTTATTAAAATTGTTTATATAAGCTTTGGGGCAGATGAACTTTCCCTGGTAAAGGTAATTAAAGAAGGAAAAATCCCAATTTAATCATGAGTAAAGGTAGGAGGAGAGAGCAAACTGATGGTATCTTCTTAGTGGTATTATCGCAATAAAAAATCTTGATTTTTAAAATTGGTTAATGCCAGGAAGGGTACCCAGTTGTACAAAGTTGTTTCCACTTTGCTATGTCATATAAGAAAATGACATTATGGAAACCAGTTTAAACCTCACAAGTGTGAAACCATGAATGATAAAAGTTTATTTAATTCAAAATAAATTAGTTTTAAAAATAAATGGAATATAAAAATATTAATTTGTTATTATAAGTAATCAAAATTAAACTTAAAATCATCATAAATATCATTACTTAATAGTTAGCATATGAATAATTGAATAAAGTACTGTGTTTTAGTGAAGTGAACTCATATGAAAATAGCTTTATTAATATGTTAACTTTATTTATTAAATATTTATTATTATTATTATATATATTCATTTACTTAATAATGTAATAATGGTAATTACTTGATAAGTTTTAAAGAAATTCAAAAACCAATTTTCTCATTATCTATGTATTTTTGAAACAGTATACATATATGTTTCAAAAATGAATTAAATGTGTCGTTTTAAATGACATTTTGTTGGCATATGAAACAAATTTCTGTTGTTTTTTTTTTTAAAAAGGTATTATAGCTTATAGTTAAGAAATTGTAATTTTGTAAATTTATATAGCTTGAAGTTATAAAATTGTTTATCAGTAAATAATTATAAGATTTAAGTAGATTGTTTATTAGTAAATTATTGTAAATTATAAGTAAATTGTTTATAAGTAAATTATTTAACAATTTTTTTTTTAAGTATTGTTTTTGAACTAGTTTTAAGGATTTTTTTCATGGCTGATGTTATTGACAAATTTGATAATAATAAACTTGACCAAAATGTTAATAATCAACGATTGGATTTCAAAAGACACGGTTTATCGATCAGTGAAGATAAACAGGACATGTATTTCACAAAAAGTCTTTATATTTTTTCACCAACAAATCCATTACGCAGATTGTGTGTTGCTATAAGCACTTCCAAGTTATTTGAGTTGTTTATAATACTTTCTATTGCTACTAACTGTGTTGTAATGGGATTGAATACTTCTTTACCAAATAATGATATGTCAAATCTAAACTACAAACTGGTGTGTATAAGTGTTTATTCTTTTTTTATTATTTAACAGCTGTTAATAATTGTTATAGTTTTTAAATAACTTTTTTTTATTTTGTTTAATGTTTTACTATTGTTATTTTATTAATATTTATGATTACTGTTTATACTATTTTTTGTTTATATGTATCATTGTTATATTTTTATTTTATATTGTTATATTTTCTTAGATGATATTCGATTATGTTTTTGTTGCTGTATTTTCTTTTGAAGCTATATTAAAAATTTTAAGTCAAGGATTTATCATGGATTTAAATTCTTATATGCGAAATAAATGGAATATTTTTGACTTATCTGTTTTAATTGCCAGGTTAGTTTTAAAAAAAAACTAAAATTTTAGTTTTGTATACTACTTATATTACCTTAAATTAATATTTAATGGATTAATGAAAGAATTTTAATAGTAGTTTAATGTATTTAAAAAAAAAAAAAATTTTTTTTACTTTAATTTTTTAATATATTATTTTTTACTTATTTTTATATTTTTTTTTAAACATATTTTGTATACTTTTTATTGTTGTTATGTTTCAGTATTGTTGTGTTATTTCAAACATCAAATTATTTGTCTTGGATAAAAGTTATTAAAGCTGCAAGAGTTTTTAGGCCATTAAAGTTTGTAGCAGGAATCCCAAGTAAGTTTATATTGTAAATAAATTAAAATATAAATTTTATTATTTCTTTAAAAAATTTTTGTTTGAAGGTTTAAACATTGTAATGGGATCTATTTTAAAGTCATTATCGTCATTATTACATATTGGAATATTCATTGGATTTGTAATCATTATTTATGCAGTTATTGGACAGTTATTTCTTCAGGATGGCTTTCATCAAGCTTGTTTTTATATAGGCAATAGTAAGTGATATTAAAAAAAAATTATATTGCTGTATTTTGTTTAAATGGAAAAGAGATGTTTTTTTAATTTAAAATTTAAAATATTTTGTTAATATAAATATTTTTTTGTGTAAAGAATATAACATGATTTATAGATACTTATATTGATGATTCACCCTGTGGAATTAGTGTTAGTTTGGGTTATCAGTGTCCAAAAGGAACTACTTGTAGAAAATACTGGATTGGTCCAAACTCTGGTTTACCAAACTTTGATAATATTCTCTTTTCATCTATTACTATTTTCACATGTATCACTTGTGAAGGCTGGACTGATGTCATGTATTCAGTACGTAAACTAAATTTAAATTTAATCTATTGTTTTGAGTAGTGTAATTTTGATATTTTAAATGGTGTAATGTTGATAAGGAATAATAAATAAAATAATGATAGATGATAAGTGTCTATTTTTATATATAGTGATAAATGCTAGCATAAAGTAATGATTTTAGATATTTTATTGTTGCAGTTATCTCTAAAGTAAATATTTAATCACATGAAGATGGGAGAGAATTTCAAAGGCTTGATGTTCAAGGAAATAACTAGATAAATAAATTTTTTGATATTATAGGAAACTATTGAAATCAGTATTTATTGTCAGTAAGTTGTTAGACTTGAAAATTCGAACAACAATTTCCATTTTCCAGCAGGCAGGAAAAAAAGATTCAGTTATGCACTTGTATTTGTAAACATAATCCAGAACTCACTTCATTACTATCTAAGCTGTAATAGTTTAGATAGTAATGAAGAGAGTTCTGGATTTTGTAAGACTGTGATACAAATAATGTCTATAACATTTACAATTTTGTTTGGATCAAACTGTTAAGGGGTTTAAATGAGAAATAATTTTAACAATGAAAGTAAGGGGGGGGGGAGGGGATTTGGATTTTGAATTTGATTTAGTTTTTGTTTTAGTTTTTATTTTTTATTTTTCTAAGAATGTTATTTAAAATATGTAATTTAACAAAATGAAAAAAGACAGCATTTTGAAAACTAATTTTTTTAGACATATCGAATGGTTGATTACAATGGCTATTTCATATGGATATATTTTTTTTCACTCATTGTTATTGGTTCCCACTTTATGCTAAATTTGGTTTGTGGTGTTCTAAGTGGGTAATAAGTTATTGATTATAACCTAATTAAAATTATTAAAGGTTTTTAACTTAATTTTTTATCTTATATTATATATATATATATATATATATATATATATATATATATATATATATATAATATATATATATATATATATATATATATATATATATATATTTAATTTTAATTAAAGGCTACAGGTTTTCAAACATGATACACCTGTTTAACTTATATAACAAATGCTTTTGAAATGCTTATATAAAAAATAAGAAAATTAAATTTTTTTTTGTGTACATGGCAAAATAAACAAAAATATGCAGTTTTTCTTAAATCATATTAGAATCACTTTACAATACTCACAAATAATCCTCTTCTCATATAAAAAATATGGACACTGGCAGAATTTTTTTATCTTAGAGTAGTTTTAATAGAGCAATATTGACTAATCATTTTATTTCTAACTAATAGTTAATATTTATTGATGTAAAAGTATTATTGTGTAATGATAATTTTTAATTGCTCTATGATAAGACAAGCAAAAGTGCTGTGTCATTTGCTGTGTCAAAAGTGCTGTGTCATGTTTTTTGCTGTGTCATGTTTTTTGCTGTCATGTTTTTTCAAAAAGTCTTTATTACTCTTTAATAAATTGAGAAAAATATTTTTTCATTCAAATATGACGAACATTTAATGATTGCAGTATGGAAAAATTGAAATGTCAAAATCTGAAAAACTTCAATTTTATATAAATTTTTTTTGATAATATAGTTATGAAAATGCTGAAATTCAATTTAAATAATTTTTTTTATAAATGTTATTTGCCTCCCTAAAGCCTGGAGGATCACTATAATTGAGAAGGCTACTTTACTGTGGTTACCACCCTCGCTTAACTCTTCAACTCTGAAACATGAACCTTGACAATCAAAGCGGCTGTGTAGAGAAACAAGTTAAGCACAGTACTATCAAGGATTTAGTGGAGATTGAACTCAGAACTTTTTGCTTATGAAGCGAGTGCTGGACCACTACACTGCATAATTATGAAATTATGAGTTATGAAAATTTCAACATTAAAACTATTTAAATCATGATGATAATTGATTTTTAATAATCAAGTTTCCTTGGCTTTTTTTTACTAAGTTTAAGTGTAGAATAAATGATTTAACACATCATTGTTGTTTTTCAATCCTTGGCTTTTTTTACTAAGTTTAAGTGTAGAATAAATGATTTAACACATCATTGTTGTTTTTCAATCCTTGGCTTTTTTTACTAAGTTAAAGTGTAGAATAAATGATTTAACACATAATTTTTGTTTTTCAATCCTTGGCTTTTTTTACTAAGTTTAAGTGTAGAATAAATGATTTAACACATTATTGTTGTTTTTCAATCCTTGGCTCTTTTTACTAAGTTAAAGTGTAGAATAAATGATTTAACACATCATTGTGCTTTTTCAATCCTTGGCTTTTTTTACTAAGTTAAAGTGTAGAATAAATGATTTAACACATTATTGTTGTTTTTCAGCAGTTTTCTTATTTGTAAATCTAAAATACAAAAAAAAAATGAACAATCTTATTTTTAATCTTGATCTTGAAATTCGAAAATCTTTTTTTTCATAATCTTTAATCTTAAAATTAAGAAGAAAAAATACATAAACAAGTTACTGTTTACAAAGAGTTGCTTAAATTGTGTGTTTTGTTGAAAACTCTTTATGAAAAATCGTTAAAAATTAGTACTGGGAATTGACCAAATAAATTATCACAAAATATGATTTCAAATAAACCGAGACCATGTACAATTGCTTTTATTTATAATTTATTTGTTAGCCAATTTAGTAAAGAAAGTGAGCTAATTGCATACAGAACAGAATTTCAACGAAAGCGTGTTATGGCTGTGAAAACCAAAGTTTCTACAAAATATAGTTTCAACAAAAACAGCACTCATGAAAGTTTTGCAACTAAAAAGATAAATGAGCGTAAGATGTTTTTATTTTATTTAATTTTCAAAGATTTTTTTTAATAAAAAAAAACTTTTTTTAAAAATCTTTTTTAATAAAAAAGATTATAAAAAATGCAGATTTATCAAAATCATTGAAAATAACTATTTAAACACAAGGACGATATTCATTTTTTTCTGCCACACCATTTACTAGGGCTCTTTATCTCTTACCTTATGTCCATAATATAAAATCTGTAGAAATATCCTGCAAATAAAAATACTCTAAAAATCAAAACTTTTAGAATATTGTTAGACAATGGTCACATGTAGGTGACAGTGGAGCTGTCCAGTTATGTAGACCTTGGAGATGTGATAATAAAAATATGTCGTTGAATAAAAATTAAAAATTATAAGAAAATATAAAATGATTGGAAAGACTTGTGAAATAAAAATTATTTGTGAAATTAGTTTTTTTTAAGAAACAATTAATGTTCTAGTCACAGTGTAGGTAGATCATATGCAACAAAGAACAAATATTTGATTTACTGATTTTAGAGACTATTTGTATCTACAGGTGTGATGGTGTAGTGCATTAGTATGTTTCATTTGGTCTTTTGGTATGGTCTTGTTATGTTTTCATCCACTTTCAAATCGGATGAATAGAAAGCTTAACACTCTTACCTCTTGCTCTTATGGGCTAACACATCAGAGCCAGATGTAAGACCTACAGAATGGATTTCAATTGATTAAATGTACACATTAGTCACAGTAGGCCACAAGTCATCACTCTTAGCCCAAAGAGCTACAACCTTGTACTGGTGTGGAATGATGTGCTATGAAGTGAGACTAGATGTGAGCACACAGTCAGCAAGCGCTGATCTGATGTGCATTTCAGAGCTTCCTAATAAACACGTGCATAAGTGTCAGCATAATCATTAGTTTATTGAGAGCCGTAACCACATCCAGCGGGATAGCCTTTTGTCCAATTTGTTGCTGTGATATACATTGGAAAAAGTTGAGTTCTCCAACTACAAAGAATATATTTATAATTGTTTATGTGGCGTGATGACCACAAAAAGTGACCAACAGAGCCATCCAGTTATGTAGACCTAGGAAATATGATAGCAGAATCATATTGCAGATGGTGTCATTGGGTAAAAATCAGAAATTAATGTAAAGACTATTTAGTAGGAGTAATAAAATTTCATGACTCAAGGAGAGGATGAACCAAAAATCACGCTTCAGCCATCCGAAGCAAATAATAAATGGTCGTCCGGAGCGTTCCAAGTCATCAATACGTTCTCGGCCTTCTTTGAAGTCTTTGTACCACTTGTAAACAATTTTTTGAGACATAGTCTCTTCACCGAAGGCCTTTTGCAACATTCGATACGTTTCAGCAGCAGAAATATCATTCCGCAAACAAAATTTAGTAGCACTTCTTTGCTCAACAAAATTAGACATCGTGAAAATCGCCGAATGCACTTTTGCTACTTCAGAAACAAGCGTAAACAAAAAAAAAATAATAGCAAATAATAAAACAATAGCCTATAAGTTATATAAGTCTATATAAATTCGCTGGTGTTATAATAGCTTTCACAACTAAAAATAATGTACAGTATAAAACAATAAAATAAAATAAGTAGATATTAAAATAAGTAAAATTGTAAGAAAATGATACTAAATGATAGTAAGGTCAATATAAAAATAAAAATAAAAAACGCGCGCCATTTGAGGTTCGAACTCTGAATCTTAATGAGCTAATCCACCATGTTATAATGTCAATGCACAATTTTTTAAAAAGTAGGCTTATAAATGTGATACAATTCAAGGCCTAAACACTAGGCAATAAATTAAAAACTGATAACCACCAGTGTAACAGCAAGATTTATAAATATTGTTTATGTAAAATATAAATCTCACAAAGCGCTAAAATTCATGGGTGTAAGAGGTAAAAAATATTGGTGCCATAATAACGAATTAGAATTAAGTAGTTGATAAATGATGATCCCCCAATGACATGAACTTTTTCAAAAATTTCTATATGTACACTAAAAAATATATATTTTTTGGAAATAGCTGTACTATTTCAAATCTATTAAAAAAATCTATTCTATTTTTAATATATGATAATCTTTTAGGTTTTTATTAAAAAAGTACGATAATCTTCTAGGCTTTTATTTAAAAAATATGATAATCTCTAGGCTTCTACTTAAAAAAGAAAATTCTACTTTTAAATAACTATGTTGGTTCATAAGATGATTATTAAAAAACTACATCGGTTCATAAGTAAACGTATTAACTACTATCTTAAATTACATTTATGTAATACCACATTCTAAGTCACTTAAACCATACTTTATGTTTTTTGTTAGTTTTGTTAGTTTTTCTGATACATTACCTGTAATTAAAAAGATCAATACATTAGATAGTATAGACAGATTTTGTACCAGGAGTTAGAAAATAAGGTGGCATGAGTTGCAGCTGTTGAGACCTTAGAGAACTTTAAAGTTTATGTTATAGATTTAGAACTTTAAAGTTTAAATTTTGAGTTATTTTTCAGTTAGTATTGATTCTTTTTCTTGTAGTATTGATATTTTGTATTACAGTTTATGATGCTAACTAAGGTACATATAAAACTTTATTTTAAGTGTTTAAATGTAGTTTCAATGTTTTGATTATTAAGCTTTCCCATTAATCCACACTTTTTTTCTTTTAAAATCACTATAAAAATATCTAATAAATCAGCAGATAAAAACTTGATTGGTAAAAACAAAGGTAATCTTATCGTTTATGCATTATTTTTTTGGATGGAGCTTGCATCTATGCACAGTATAGACAATATTGGTAATAGTTGCCCACACCCGTACAAGCAGTGTTTGTATGCTGAAAGCACAACTTTCTATTTGCTAGAAAAGAAATTAATTTATGAATAAATAATTCTCTCTAAATATGAAAATAATTTTTTGTTTGCAGTGTTTTATCAAATGTATGCCTGAAATAACTCATTTTTTAAAATTAATTTGCACCGCAACAAAATCTGATATTATAATTTTTTTTTAACTATTAATATTAGCATAAACCTGTTTTCTAATGTTAGAAAACAGGTTTATGTTTTCTATCATTAGAAAGTTTAAACAATAATTTTATAACAATAAATTTAACAATATTTCAATTTATTATCAGTGATATAAATGATATAAGCATATTATTTTAGAGATAAGTTGTCCTTGGATCAAACATTATCATTATGAATTTGTTGATGTTTTATACTTTTTTAACTATATCACCATCAGTGAAGGTTTTTATTGTTTAAAATGTAAAAACTGAGATTAATAAAATTAATTATTGAGAACTTAAATTACAATTAAAAATGAAGTTCTCAGAATTAAATCTCAGAAAAAATTATCAATTATTTTAAATGTACATTAATATATAGGAATTAATTTAGAAATATAGAAATGAATTTATAAATTTTAAATTATTTTATGAACTGAAATAACACTAGGGCTACCATAAAAAAAGTTACAAGTAGTTTTAATGACATACTTTTTTTTTACAGCAAAAAAAGAAAAAAAGATAGAAGTTAACACTTTGAAGTAAGCTTTTTTGTATTATATTACAGTTAGTTTAGCCAACTTATGTTTTTTTTTGTATTGCATGCTCATTTGGTGTTTTATTTATTTACAATAGATATGTTTTTTGAATATTATAAAGTATTGCTTTTTCATTATCAACATTAACTGGGTTTGCAAAAAAAGAACTTGATAATACATTTTCAAAACGTTTTTCTCTTTATAGTATAGAAAATAATTTGAAAACGTACTTTTGGTTGTCACAAATGATGATGAAGTCAACAATATTGATTTTTATTTTAGCTTTCTATTTTCAGAACCCATTGTGTTACATCTTGTCTTATATAATTTTGTTATTTTGACAAAAAATTTTAAAAAACAACATGTCAAAAATCTTAATTTTTGGTTTTGTAATTTTTATTTTAAACTTCGAGTGCATGAAGGGATTGTTTAAACCTGGATGCCTAGATACCTAGTAACCTAGTTACCTAATATCAATGGTAATCTAGCTACCAAGTATCAATAGCTATGTTTATTACAACTAATGAAATAATTTACCCTTTTATGTGCAAATGACTTGAAATATTTATTACAATTTATATATTTAGTATACTGATTAAGTTGAATTTTGTTAAAGTTTCAATTTTTTCGCTAAAACTGTAGCAGCATTTTTGACAAACTTTTTTTTGACTCTCTCTAGCAGCTAACTTTAAATACCTAATACATCTTTTGTTAGTGGCTTTTATTTTCTATTCTTTAAGTAGCTTTGCAGTTCTGAAGAGCTATCAATTTTCATCTGGCTACAGATTTTATTATACTTGTTTTAAAAAGACTTTTTAAAAGCAGTTAAAAAAAAAATGTTTGTATTTTTAGATTTTCTTTTCTTAATAATATTTATGTAAATAAATTTAAATATTTTGCATTTGTTCAATGAAAAAACTGATAGAAAGTTATTTTGTAGTAGAATTGCGATTTTTCGTGCGAAGTTAAAAAAAATAATGACATCATCATTTATGGAATGGTCAATCATTGTATTAGTATTTCTTAATAGTGTATCAGGAGCCATACAGTATAGTGGCCAACCAGATTTAATGACAAGTATAGAAGGTATTCATGAAAATAACTGTAATTTTTTAAAATTAATTTTGTTTAGATTTTTTTACTTAGCTTAATTGTAAAAGTAAATGTTAAAATAATCTTTAAACCTGTAACAGCATTAAAAAATAAGAAATAGTTTTAATAATATTTGTACATACTTTTCTTGATTTCATTTTACTTTATACGTTTTTGTTATGTTTTAGATATGTCTGACCATGTTTTTATTGCATTTTATTTTCTTGAAACATCTTTAAAAGTTTTTGCTTTTGGACCAGTGCTGTACTTTAAATCAAATACAAATAGATTTGATTTTGTAGTAAGTAACACATTTTGCAGTTTCATTTAATAGGCGTCATTTTTAGTATTCTATATTGGTTAAAATTTTTTTTTTGTTTAGTTTTTTCAATCTTGTTTTTATGTTAGAAATTTATTTATACACTTTTTACAGATATTGAGGAATACTTTATAAAAAAAAGTTTATGTTACTTGAGTCTAAAATTTGAAAGAATAAACAGAATTACTTCTGCTAATATCTATTAAGTGACCGGGGCCCCAGCCTTGGCTAAAAATGAGACTTTTTGCAAACCTGGTCATGGCAAAATGATAACATTTAGCAGAGGTTGACAGCCGTGGCTAGAAAAAACTTATAATACCTAACATCATAATTTTATGCTTACATTTACCATTTATTAAATACTGGCATACATTTATATATTTTTAAACTTCAATTTATTTCCAACAAGATTGCAAGCAACCTCTATTAAGTTATGAGTTACTTTAAAATAGAGAATAAGTTAAAATACTAGGAAACGTATAACTTAAGACTTTAAAAGTTGTAAGTTATATAAAAAAGGAAAACATAAAAATGGGTAAGAAGGTTTTTTTGATGTTCAAGGAAAAAAACTGGATTAATAAAATTTTTTTAGCATGAAGAAACATATATATTAAAAGAATGCAACTTGTTGAATAAAAAGCCAATCAAGAATGTGTTTTGGTTTATCATAATAGAAATAATAGCTCGTTTGATTATTAACCATGATTTTATTTGTAGAAAAAAGAAAAAAATGCAACCTTACAACAATGGAAGAGCAGCTCAAGCTTGGCAAATAAAACAGGTCTAATTACATTTACTATGTGCTTTTAGACTTTGTCTGAGAGTAAGAGGGTTGTTATTGTTAGGTTGTATTTTATACAAAAACTTTTAATCTTTGCCTGGAGTAAAATGGAGTAAGAGGGTTGTTATTGTTAGGTTGTATTTATAGGTTGTTATTGTTAGGTTGTAAGAGGGTTGTTATTGTTATTGTATGGCAGCCTTAGGCTGAAAAGAGAGCCTTAGACAGAAGAGAGATCAGATTTAAAATCGGCTGCTTGTTCTAAGCAATCAAAAAGTGAAGATTTTTAGTCAAGACAATAGTATAAAGTTGAGTCGTCAACAAATAAAGCCACCTTAGATTTCATGAAGATTATTATTGTAGATAAGAAACAATACAGGAGCAAAGATTGAACCTTGTGGTACCCTTAAAGTCACTTGAAATAAAGAACTACTGCAGTTAGAAAGAAATAATTTAATAATCTCAAAACCTTTATATAAAGAAACTAATGACAGAGTGAAGACTAATTGTAGGATAGTTGAAGAGGTCAAAGTGTTTTCAAGAGTTTTGAAAAATTGAAAAGAGTTCTGGAAAACACTTTTTTAAGACTATGATAGAAATCTATTCTGGAGCACAAACTATAGAAGTGTTTAATTAAGAATTAACTTTAGCATTGCAAGTGTGATTTCGATGTTTAACAATGGGTTAATCTGTTCAACTGTCAGGAAGAGTATCATCATTATATTCAAGAGTCAAATTAGAGTAAGATTTCTTTGCAAATAACTCTGCTTTATTCTAGGGAGAAGTAAAAAGATCAAACCCATGATATTATAAAATGAGAATAACAGAGCTTAACATCAGACAGGACTTTTTTACATTGGCTTCTGGCAATAATAAAAGGATACTTGTTTTTAAAAGAGGTGTGTTGTAATAAAGATGAAAAAAATGATTAATGTTTAATAAAGGAACTGCTCGAGATGGTGAAAAATGTGGAGTAAAATGAGGCTTGACTTAAAATTGATTAAAAGTAATAAAAACTTCCAAACTTTTATTCCAGAAGGAATAAAAGCTTCCAAGATGCACTTTATGCATACATATTATAGATATAAACATATATGTTTGCTATTTATTTAGATGCTGGCACACAATATCTTTACATTTTTATTTAAACTTTAGTATTTATTTGGTGTAGTATTTGCCGAAAGAGACGATGATCAGATGGATGTGAGGTGTGACTCTAGCAAGAAAAGAAAAGGAGGCATAAATTTAGACAAATTAGAAAAAACCTTGTATCGAACAACTTTTGTTAGAAAAGAATAAAATAATTTAAGTATCAGCATGTATAGAGGTAGCAGCTTAAGTAGAAAATGGTAGTGGTAGAAGTAAGAAAACTTGACAAGAGTGCCTTACATATTATATGAATGAGCTTTAGTTAAGAAAAAAAATGCCCTAGATTTTTTTATACTAGAGAAATAGCATAAAAGAGGAAAGCTAAAACCTGCTGATGATGATGATGATGATAATAATAATAATGATCATCATCATCATCACAATCATGATGATGATCAAGACCATTGTTATCAGGCTTTAGCCTTCTTCTTTTATGGTGTTGATGATAAGGATGATTGGAATGATGATAATGATAATAATGATCATAATCATCATCATTATAATAATGATGATTATGATGATCACATTGATCAGAATTATGTTTATATATGCATATATATACCAGATATAACATGAATTTTGAATAAAAAATATACTTAAGGATGTATAAATGTTTATGCAGCCCCGGTCATAAATCCGGCCCTGGCTATATTTTCTCAAACCCAGCTCTGGCACTGGTCAAATATTAACGCCGGTCAATTACTATACATTATATATATATATATATACATATATATATATATATATTTATATATATATATATATATATATATATATATATATATATATATATATATATATATATATATATATATATATATATATATATATATATATATATATATGTATATATATATATATATATATATATAGCAAAGCTACAGTTAAGTGGTCTATAATAATTTTACTTTTTCACTTGTTGCGCTCTTGTGTAGAGACTTTTTAATATAAACATAAAGAATATTTATTGACTTCAGTACATACAGTGACTATCTTATAGCCTGCTGCTACAAGAAAGTGCTGCTACATTGATTGAGGCTTTGACATAGGGCAGCAATCTTTTTTCTTTTATTATATCAATTAATATTTCAAATTTCTAAAAAGCCTCCACTGATGAGAGCGTGAGAGCGTAACTAGTAAAAAAAAAAAAAAATTATTTCAGACTGCTAATACCATGTTCACACTAGCGATGTTTGATGGAACATTATTCCGGAACAAATGTTTTTGGAACAAAATGTTCCACAAAATGTTACTTGTAGCGTTCACATGTAAAATTGGCTTGACAGTACATAAAAGAAAAAACAAGTAAAAAAACGGTAAGTAAAACTCGAATAAAAATTAGTGACAAAAAGTTTGGCAAATACACATTGTTAATATAATTTATTAATTTTTAATATTTATTCATTTATGAGAGGTAAAACTAAATGCAAATAACGCTGAGGGTTCAGCTAGCTCAGAGTTAGACAATAGAAACCCAACCCAAAATACCCGCCATACAAAAGGTGACGTTGGAATTTTGTTTTCCTGTTTCTTGGCTTTTATGGATAGGTCATATCTCCTTTAGTCGCCTTTGACGACACAGAATAGTAGTCCATCAGTGGTATAGTACCGAATAAACATTAATAAGTTACCCACGACCAGTTAAAACTAATCTCATTTTGTGTTCATACATATTTAATATTTATTTATTTAGACACATTTGATAACCTCAAGGAAAGTAAGTTTAGTTCAAAACTACTAAATACATAACCATATTACAGCTAAAATAATGAATAATATTGAATAATATTATTACTACTTTACTTGTCTCTTTCATAAAGGTATTTAGCAATTGAGTCACGAACATTTTTTTCTGGTCCATTGTTCCCAGTTGTAGAAACTGTATTGGGTTGAGCTAGACTGTCATCATGATGATGCATAAGCCATTCTATTATAATAATATCGTCATAATATTCACAAATGTTGTGAAGAGTGACGCAAGCATTAACAATTCTTGTAGCAAAGTTAATATCGCTTTCCATACGTTTGCAAATTACACAGAATCGAGCTTTAATGCGTCCAAAAGCATCCTCAACTACTCTTCTAGCTCCGCAAAGTATTTTATTGAAATTTTTTTGAATTTCACTAAGCTCCAAATTTTCAGGATAAGGTTTTAACAAATGACGCGTTAAAGGAAATGCTGAATCACCTATCAAACATAGCGGAACAAGAGAATCGCCCAGCTCTTTACAACATTTATCAAATAGATTTAATTCTAAAATTGCTTTCAAAGAAGATTTCTGCAAAATATAGCTGTCATTATTTCTACCAGGCGATCCAACACTTGTATAAATAAAACGGTATCGACAGTCTACAACAGCAAAAAGTACAATGGAATACCACCCTTTATAATTATAATAAGAAATTGCTTGATCTTTAGGGGCTGAAATAGGGATGTGGCATCCATCAACAGCTCCAACGCATTGTGGAAAACCAAGAATAGCTTCGAAATCTCTACTATGTTTATTTAAATTTTCCACTGACAATGGAAATTTAACATATTTAAGGAGCAAAATGTCATTAACAGCATTAATAAATTCATGAACAATTAAATTTGCTGTTGACTTTCCTATCAAAAAAGGCTAGACAAAACACGATACTCTTCACATGAAGCTAGATAATGTAATGCAACTGCAACACATTTTACTACTGAAATAGGTTCTCGCATAGTTGTGGTAGTTTTGCCTAAATGTGGATGCAATTCATTAATTACGATTTACTTAAAAATGCTCTTTAAATTCACATTCCTCCATTTGAGTAAAAATCTCATTAAACCATTGAGAACTTTTTGGCCTAACCCAAACTTTTCTTTCAATCAGATACCCTTGTTGATTTAACTTAAAGGAAGCTAAATCTAAATATGAAAATGGGTGGGTGATTGATTCACCATTGATTAATGTTCTACTTCTTGATCAAAGTACGGCCAAAACACTTTCCATGTTTTTTCAATAGCTTTTTCCTTTACAGATGTCTCCCTAAAAAGCTGTTAAAACTATATAAATATATTAAATAAGTATAATATTTATTATATTTCAATTCAAAAGAAATTAAAACACATTTTAAAAAACCATTTTGTTAGAATTGATACAGCATGATCTGTTAACAAAAAAAAAAAATGAAACATGTAAAGCAATTTGTATAAATTAAAAACAAAACACGTTGGCAAAAAACATATCACTATAATTCATCTACAGGCTTGCTTCATATCACAAAAAA